AAAGTCTATGGTGCAATGATTGTACCCATTTACAATGAGACCTCATCTTAAGCATAAAGGTTTTTTGGTTATCGCATTAATCATAGGTTTATAAGTCATACAATGCTCAGTAGTAGTTTTGATCTACAGGAAAGCATGGCAATGTTTCAGCAACTTATTAATAAATATTTTATTTCATTATTGGATGATGTTTGTTTGTACATTTTGGCATTGTTTCTTCTGTTTAAGTTCCTTACCATTTAGTCTGTGTCTACAAAACAGTGGTGAAACTGTCATTTTTCTCCAAGTCTCCACTCCTTCTTCTAGCAAACCAATGATACAGTGCTGAAACCTGTTAATTTTTAATATGAGCCAGGGAAGGACAACTGCTGGGATTTTATTATTTAAAATAGAGGCTATAAGACATAATTATTAACTTTGAATTCACAGAAACAAAGCAAAGAAAAATAAAGCTTTGAGAATGATTATATTATTCTATGTTAAAAAAAACAAAGGTAAATATGGAAAGGCAATAAAAATTGTCTGGATCCTATAAAGAGTAAAGAATTTGAAAACATCAAGTGTCCTTGAATCCCCAAGTTTGAAACTGGACAAATGCTAGCATAAGGCCACCATGAACACACTTATAGATTTCTAAAATGCTGTTTTAAGATCAAACAGGTCTATATAGTTATCACTATAGAATTTACCAAATATGATTTATGAGCTATTCAAGTAATTCTTTCCTAATGGACTACATGTTTATGAAATGTTACATACAACTCTAAATTTTCATTTTTGAATAAATATCCAAAGAAAATAATATAAGGAAGCCATATCAAAAAGAAAAGAGAACTGAAACCTAAAGTCTAGAGGGCCTATAGAAAGAATAGTAAATGTAAATTCCAAAATGTACATCCTCTATCATTTAGTATTGAAGTGAGAATCTTTCTCTTTATATTATCTGTTATTGTTATTGAAAGGTCTCATTATGTAGTCATGACAGTTATTATTATTGGCATGGTATCCTTGTATAATCCTTATGACCTAGGGCTATATAAATCAGGTTAGATTCAAATTTGCAGGAAAAAAAAAACTGTCTTTCTCTGCCTCCTGAGTACTAAGATGAATGTGTGCTGCTAGACAAGGTTTAGAGTATTAATCTTTTAGGTGTTCTCTAAAAAAAGATAAAGCTATTCACAAAATACCATGCTTGTTCCCCCCTTCCCTTCTTTAGTTGGGTAACAACAGGGAAACAGATCTTTTGTTTTTCAGTTACAGATCAGTAATGTTTTTTTATTGCTCAAGATGTATAGCTGTGCAGAATGTGAGAAGGGCAGTGCATTGGTGTGTGAGTCTTGTTTTGATAGGTTGAGAAGATCATTCAGCACCATCACTGTATCTTCCTTTAGTTCTCAGATAGGTGGTAGTCTTCTTTCTTACCATAACCTGAATCAAAATTATATTTATGCTTTTAAGATTTCTCTTGTGCTATAGCTATCCCTGATTATATGTGTTAGTAGATCTTCAGAGTACTCATTCAGCTCTGCTTTCAGATATCCAAATAAAACCCACTAACACAATAAAGTTCCATTAATAATTCCATGGAGAAAGCAAAAACAGTTAATCCTTACAGTCTCACTGCAACATCTCTTCACCTTTGGCCTAGCTGTGGAATACATCTGGTTGTCCATCTTCTGAAATGAAGAATGTGTTTGATAACTGACTAAAAAAAAATCCCCACTTTCTAGCTAAACATAAAGGTCAGTTAATGTTGAAAAGGCTGATGTAAATGTGAAACCCAGTTTTTTGTATATCTGGTAGCTCTTTAATGTATTTTTTCTTACATGTATTCCATCTAACATTGACTTTGTGATTGTTATATTGCCTAACAAGTACATCTGTCATTGTACAGATAGTATATCAAAAGAAGAACCAGTGGTTGACATAATATATATATATATATGTATATATATATTATGTAAGATAAACTATAACTGTATAATATATATTGACCATTTCAATATGTTTCACAGAAATTCCATTTTTTATGTTATTTGAGAATTTGTAAACTACTCCACGTTTCCAATTCCTTAATGACATTTTATTCATAGTAAACTTTGACAGTACTGTGCAGATGCAAGTCTTTTTTTACTTCTATGTGCAAAATCTTCAATATCTAATTACATCTTATTTGAACCATCTTATCACACAGTATAGGAAATGCTGTGTGTTTTGCCTGAGTGAAGTTTTGAAGAACACTGTTAATTCATTGTGGAACAGGCAACAGTTTGAAGCAAGCTATAGACAGATTGGAACCTTGGCCCTGTGACATTTTAGCTTGTGGATTTGGCATTGGGATCTCATTCTTGTTAAAATTTCCTACATCTTATTACTTTGAAGACTTAGTGAATTTCACCCTTGTCGAATGCCTTCTCTTTTCAGTGCTTAGTATAAGCTAGCATTTCATCTTTAAAACAACTCTATCTGGTAGAATTTCTTAACATCACCCCACCTCAAAAAACAAAACCAAAGCAAAACAAACTTAGATAGAGATTTTAAACAAGTGCCCAGATTGACACAGTGACACGTGCAGAGCCAAAATGTAAATCGGTTTTGCCATTACAGATTCCCTTCATAGCACCCTTGCCTTCAACATTTGCACGGCCATGTTGTTGCGTTACGAATAACACTGGGAATGTAAATTCCTTTTATCCTTATGCTTAACTTAAGCCATGAATAATTTTATATACATTAAAATTCTATTTCTCCAGTTGATTGCTTTAGTAGCTACAATATTTATTTGATTCTTTTAAGCCAATATGACATCAATTTATAAATTTTGTTATTCTTCTTGAATGTAAAATTTTCTTATCCCTGTGTTTTCTCAGTTCTAATTCTTCCTAGTTAGATTAGGTCTTACCATAGCATACTTCTTAGTAAACTCGAGAGAGTAGTTTGCTATCCATGGTACATGGTGACATTTGGACATTAAAGTAACTTTTGTAAAGATTAGAAACTGATTCATTTAGGGAAGTTTGATTGGTGTGTGATTGTTCTGAAAGTACATGGTGTGGGTGTTAAAAAAGTAAAAGACTTATATTCTTCATCTTTTCATGCACTCATTTCTCAGTGACAGATGTTGTAGAGACTTCTCGTGTAGGTATGTCCCCTTTCATTGTGTTCACCAATCCGACAATAAGGGAAAGATTCTGTGAAAGTCAGACATGTCAATTACTCAATTACACAAGAAGAGAAGGAAATTATAACAAAGAGGGGAAAGGCAGGACAAGAGTGAAGACATGAGGCAGTGCAACAAACACTGGGTTACTTACAGTTCTTTAATCAGATAAGAGAGGAACTTTGCTTTGAAAAAGCAGCATTCATGACTGTCATGTCTTCTGAAAGAGACAGTTTAGCAAAATTAAAAGAACAAAGCTAGTTTGTCCAATTTCATAGAGGAAAATGCTAAGATTTTCATATCTTCATACTTTTGTGTTTTTATTTATGTAAATGTTTAAATATTAAATATTATTTTTTTTAGAAATTCATATGTTAATCCGGTTAAAACTGAATAACATATCTGGGGGGCTTAGTCCTGGAGAAAACTATTTTCCTCCCTCACTACCCTTTGACTGATTGGAACTCTTTATCTAGGTAGGGGTGGGGTCATATGAAATTTCCCCAGCAAAATTGGCACGTCAACTGGCATTGTCATTTTGAAGACCTTATTCAAGTAATAATGTTGTTGAGACGTCATGGGTGCAGATTCCTATCAAATCTTGTAGACACTATTTAGTAATGAACAACATGATTGCTTGGCTTTTCCAATCTTTCTACTCTTTCTTCTGCAATGTTTCCTGAGTCAGGTATGGATCTGTGTTGTAGATGTACCAACTGGGGTAGTGCAGCCTGAAATCATATATGCTCTGTGCTTTGAACCCTTATGTAATCTGTTGTAGCTTCTGTTTGCTACATAAAGGTTGTTTTTTGAGGAGTGAGAGTTACAGTTATCTTTGTACATTTGCATAAGTATTTAGAATATAGTTTATTATATTGGTTTAGGAAAATAAGGAATAGCAGGTGCTCCCATAGAGTCTGTGACAGTTCCAGCCATAGGAAATTGGCTAGATTTCTAGTATCTAGCCTGAATTTTCTAATGAGTATCTTTTGACTCCAATTAGATATTTGTTGGCTACCCTAAGATGTAAATGCACTATTTTACCATTGTGGATAATTTGCCAAGTCACTGTAAATATAAACAATGGGCTAAAGAAGTGTGATATCTTACTTAATGAAGATAAATTTAATTCAGTCTTTCCAAGAAAAACATTATAGTTTAGAATTATTCAATAACAATTCTGTGTTAGTTCATAAAAACAGCATATCATTTTCAGCTTATGTTTGTTGACTTAAAATAAGTAATTATCAAACATGAAAGAAAAAGTACCTTTAAACAATGATAAACCAGGTAGTGGTGGCACACACCTTTTATCCCAGCAATTTAGAGGAAGAGGCAGGTGGATCTCTGTGAGTTTAAGGCCAGCCTGGTCTACAAGAGCTAGTTCCAGGGAAGACTCCTACAGGGAAACTATAGGGAAACTCTTTCTTGAGAAAAAAAAAAAAACAACAAAAAAGTTAAATTATGCAAAAATTCTAAAACCTTTTTTATAATATATAATATCTAAATGTTCATAGAAAAAAATAAGTACAGACTGGATGGTGATGGCACATTCCTTTACTCCCAGCACTTGGGAAGCAGAGACAGGTGGATCACTGTGAGCTTGAGGCCTGCCTGGTTCACAAAGTGATCTCCAGGGAAGGATCCAAAGCTACAGGGAAATCCTGTTTAGAAAAATGAAAACAAACAAAAATAAATAAAAAAGAAAGAAAAGAAAAATAGTAAATACAACTCCCCTTGTAAAACAGATTATCACAAACACACTTACATATACATGTATAGTTGTTTCAAAACATTCAGACTATTTAATGCTTCTACAATTGTTCTCTTGTTTTGCTAGGTGGTATATTTGAATATGTGGAGTCTGGCCCCATGGGAGCTGAAGAACTTGCATTCAGATTTGCTGTGAACACAATCAACAGGAACAGGACTCTGCTGCCCAATACCACTTTAACTTATGATACCCAGAAGATCAACCTCTATGACAGTTTTGAAGCATCTAAAAAAGGTAAAACTATGTACTATGGTTTCTAGAATTCAGATTTCTAGGTGTGCTTAAGAGAATTCTTGGTTCCCTTATGTAATTAATAAGTTATTAATAACATTAATATGGAATGATTTGTCTTTAATATCTGCATGCATTTTATTAGAGAAAACGTTGATGTAGTTAGCTTTTACAAAAAAAAAAGAACACTAGTAAGTAAAAGTAAATTTGTGGTAGATATATTGTTCTTCCCTACTGATCTCTATGCATTGTTATTAAACTTTTTAAAAATTAACTGAAATAAATTCAATTTTAAAAGAATTCTTCTTGGGAACCCAGGCTAAATTCTCAGCACCCGAATTGCAGTGGACAAGTATCTGTAACTTTAGTTCCAGAGGTCCTGACTTCCTCTTCTGGCTTCTGATGGCACTTGAATCATGTGGTATAGAGATTTACATGTGGACAAAAAAAAATATAAATAAAATAATTAAAGCAAATTTTAAAAAATGAGCCATTATCCAGTCATATATTATTCAAACAGCAGTATCAGTAGTGAATCTGTTTGATGGGTACATATTTACATATTGTCACATAGATGATTTTTTCTTATATACATAGATGATATCATAAAAAGGCAGGTCCTATCTTTGGCACAGTTACCTTTTATGAAATAGACATTGCCAGAGAGTACTAAAATAACCTTTATTGTCACTATATACTTTAAAATGTTGTTTACCTTTCTGTAATGCTAATATCGTTTCACTAGCTACCTCACATCTATGGAAAGATATATAATTATTTGTAATTCTAATTTGATGAAATGTTCTTCTAAGTATATTAATATTAATGACTGTTGATAAGGTACAATGCTGCTCAAGATAAAAGTCTCTTTCTTTTCCCAGATGCTAACCTGTGTTTTTCAAAGCCATATTCTGCTTGCCCTTTGATTTCATATCTTTGTGAATGCAAATTAGTTTCCACATTTCAGATCCATGTCATAACGATAAAAGATTTAAAAAGACTGGAGGGAAAAGGTTAGAGTTGACTGTAAAATGTTCTGTTTGTCACGACTAAGGCAAGCTAAGTCATTAATTGCAAGACAAGTGCATTTATTAGTAGCATAGCTCATGATTATTCCCATTAAAGGAAGAATAAACTCTGGGGCTAAGTAAAGCATTCAGACTGAATCTTACGGAGGAGAAAAATGCAGATAAAATATTAATAGATTTCTTCATGGTGACTTCAAAACCTGGGTGTAAAATTATAGACTCGGATTTTCCTGACAGCAAACAGAATACTATTAGGGAATGCCCTAGTACAATTCTTAGGTAATAAAGTCAAGTGGTTTATAAAATGTTCTAAGGAATGAACAGAGTAAGGGGCTGGAGAGATGGCTCAGAGGTTGAGAACAATGGCTGCTCTTCCCAAGGTCCTGAGTTCAATTTCCAGCAACCACATGGTGGCTCACAACCATCTATGAGGTCTGGTGCCCTCTTCTGGTCTGCAGACAGACACAGAGACGGAATATTGTATACATAATAAATAAATACATGATTTTTTTTTAAAAAAGAAAGAAATGTACAGAGTAAGCATCCACTAATAACTCATTTGTAATCTGGCCAAGATCTAGGAAAACTCAAATAAGTAACTTTCTTTGTCACTTGTAAAAAGGGTTAATTCTATATTCTGCATCTTTATGCTGAGCTGTTATTGCTTAGGTTATAAAGAAATATATAAAGGAAAAGAGATCCAAAGTGGATTTTGAATCTGATAGAGTTCCTGTCCTACAAATGTACACAATGATCATGACATTAATGACTAACTTTAAAAGAATAATCAACTGAGACCTTTAAAAGTATTTTTAATCTTTTTAATCCAAAAAGAAACAAAATGTTAAATTTGGATTTTTCTGATATATTTCATAAATTATACTACTAGGCTCCATTCATGAATACTTCATAACTGTTTTATAACTGAATTACTAATTGATTCATACAATACTTTTAGTCTCTTTTTAGCTAGGCAGGTGGCACAATTCTACTATCGTTCTAACTCCTCTGGAGGCAAAAAAAAAAAAAAAAAAAAAAAAAAAAAAAAAAAAAAAAAAAAAAACATGCTGATGAGGCCAGCCTGGGCAGCAAAGGAAAACAAGTTCTCAAAAACTAAATAGATTATAAAAACAAAAACAAAACAAGCACTCCTGTGTTATTTAAAAGCATAGAAAGATTCCAAAAAGATTCCAAGTGTTTTCACCTTTTATTGAATTTTGATTTGTCACAAAACAAGTAAAGGAAGGTCATTGGTCTCTAAATATAGGAATTAAAATCCCAGTTTGATTGTGATTTCAGAATTGGTCTTTCATTAATTTAGAATTCTGATCATTATTTGGAAAATCGTAACCAGTATGTCAAAATCAGATTATTTATGTAATATGGAATTCTTAAGGGAAGCATAAGCAAGTGACTTTTACAACTAAATTTTACCTAATTTTAAATGTGCCCATGCTTAGGTATTCATGCATCACACATTTTACGCTGAAAATATTTCTTTTATTTTTTTCCTTTCGCCACCATTCCTTGACATTATTTACAGAGTTATTTGAAATTTAGTTCCTACTAAATTGACTGCATAAACTTTCTTTTTATAAACTGAAAATATTCAGTCATAAATTCATGAGGCCTCAGCCTAGACAATGACCTAACAATAGTCCATCGAGGAAGGCTGAGAACAGGATAAACTGTTCCCTGAGAATAGCATACCTATTGGCTATACAATAGCAAATGGTCAACTTAGAAAATATACATGAAAGTAACATTATATAAATGGAACTGGTTTTACCTGTGTATTTAGGAGCACACACACAAATTAAAGAAAAGGAGGATGTGAATTTAAAAGCTAAGGAGAGAGGGGGAATGTGGCAGAAGGTTTGGAGAGATGCGAGGGAAAGAAAGAATGATGTAATTCTAACCTCATATATAAATACATATACAAATGTATATATGCATGTATATATAGATATATGTTTAATGAAGTGCAGAGTTATACTTAAGAAAAAAAGATCTTTACCAGGAAGAATTTTTTAGAATTTAATAGCGGTTCACACCTTCCTTTCCCCTCCTCGGTAACAGACTCCTTTCTCCTCTTCAGCTTGTGATCAGCTGTCACTTGGCGTGGCTGCTATCTTTGGGCCTTCACACAGCTCATCAGCCAATGCAGTCCAGTCCATCTGTAATGCCCTGGGGGTTCCTCACATACAGACCCGCTGGAAGCACCAGGTGTCCGACAACAAGGATTCCTTCTACGTCAGTCTCTACCCAGACTTCTCTTCCCTTAGCCGAGCCATCTTGGATTTGGTGCAGTTTTTCAAGTGGAAAACAGTCACGGTTGTGTACGACGACAGCACTGGTAAGAGCAGCGCCCTCTGTGGCCGCTTTCGGTACATTACATTCTGGAGTGCATCCCAGGTGCTTTCTGTTCGGTCTTCTGTGCTTTGTTTTCCTTTATTAGTTTAAATTTGTTGTTGTTCGTTAATTTATTATTATTTTTATTGTTGGGTTTATGTGGAAGGACTACAAGGTATTGGAGCCAAATATCAACACTTGCTCCAGAAAATAACAACCCAATCAAATATATTTTCTTTGAATATATAAAATAAAAAAAGTAAAAAAAAATAAAACACCCAGAATGTAGTAATTTATAAAAAAAAAAAGCATCAGGAGTTTGAATCCTACATTGAAAATAAAATTAATATGTTTATCATATTAAATTATTATTAAAATGATTTTAGTTAGATTGAGAGGTTTCCTACTGCAAAGTTCCATGGTATTTTCTCAGCATCAATAAATTTACAATTTGACATAATATTTTATCTGTTTTATGCAAATTATGGATATAGTGAATAATAAAATACAAATCTTTAAGTATCTTTAAGTAGTATGTTGAAATTTAAACTTTTGTTTTTCTAAACAGTGGAACAAATGAGAGTATCAAAATATTTAAGATTTTGGGGACTACTTCTGTGTAAAAACAATTAGAAATTTAGAAAATAGAATTACAAATAAAATTTAATGAAATACTATTCATGACACTGTTTAAGATAGTTTAAGAAATATTTTCTGTACAGTATTGTTTTAATGGCTATTAATAATGGTTGACTTTTATCTTACATTATTAATTTAAAACAAGTCTCAAAGAACATCAGAAAATAAACAGTAAAATCAAACCTGTAGTTTTCTGCTGACAATTATTTTAGCAAAGTAATTACTATGTTTATCATGGTAATTGATTTCATTTCAGGAAAAATTTCAGTATTCTAAATATTTAAATTAGATGCAAAAAATTTATTTTAGGTCTATTTTGCTATGCCTTCAAATTTACATTGAGATTAAAATTAATTGAAATTTAAGTTCTCCCCAAATATGGCAGGAACATGCTTTGTTCCCATTCACTTTGTATGCTTGCCACGAACACAAATTTGTGTAGAAATTTATCCATTACATACTGAAATTATCAATGCAAATGGACAGATAGGAACTCTGATAGGAGAACAAAGAGTTTCAGGGTTGGAAGAATAATGAAAATAGTTTTAAACATATTTTCACTGAGCTAAGAAAGACCTAGCCATATTAGAAGTTAATAATCTTTAAATTGTTGAAAAATATATAGATATTTCTTATTAATTTTAGCTTATACATTTATCAATAAAATCTTTCAAATCAAAAGTAGTTTTAAGATATCTTTTAGCTTAAGTTAGATTTATTAATATTATTATGGTTTCTTCCCTAATCATTCCCTTCATGTAGTTGGTTAAACTCTCCTAGAAGGCGAAGGCTGCCTACTACCAGCGCTCCTGGGTTGGCATTATTTGGAATGCCTGGAGAATCTTTAGATACAAATTAGTCTGCTCATGTTTATGCCCATAGATAATCATAGGCACACATATAGAAAGTGGATGCAGTCATTTTTGTATTCTCTCTCAATAAATTTGAGTATATGTTGCCTAAACAGCATACATACCTAATTTTACATGTATAAATGTTTATATATACATATATAATAGCATTCTACTTTTTCTATTATTTTCACACTGTTTATAATTAGAAAGGAATTTGCAAAAGATTGTAGTGTAAATAGATATACCATGTCTCTTCATTTATGTGGAAATGTTCATCTTGAAGAAGTAAACAAACAAACAATAGAATTTGTAATTAGTTAAGATCTCTAATTGGTAAAAAGATTCATTCATAAGCCACACATTGGGGTAACATCTGTTGGGACCCAGCCTCAACTGAGATTAGCACATTCTGGGGTAGGAGCGTGAAGGTTAAAATTATTAAGCAAAAGGAACAGAGATGTGAGAGAAATAAAAGACATAAACACACAACAGTATCAGGATAGAAATACAGTGAATACTAAACCGCCTACATTTATTTTCCACATGCTTATATACTTCACCCCAGAAGGGGAGGGGGAAGACAGCAGACTTCATTAACATAATATAAGAAATAGACCAAATATCCTGGAGGCACCTACTCCCTGGAAACTCCTGCCAATCTCCTTTGAAGGAGCAGGAATAGCAAGGTGGGCAGATTCACCTCTATATTCAAAATACTAATTAACCACAACCTAGGTCAGGATCTCTTGCTGTAGCCACACCTGCTGTCAATAACTCTGGAAGAGAAAAATATTAGCTCAAACTCTCTGAGCTTTAGTCAAGGGGGAGCAGGTTCACATCTGTGGGCCTCCACGGACTCACATGCAATTAGTGTTTCTAATCTATAAATAATATTCTTAACATTTCCATCATTAGTAAAAATTTAAATAAACAAATATATATATATAGTCAATTAAATACATTCCTGTAGCGATCTTGACCTTAAATTAAGTGGATTACATTTCAAATTTTTGTTTAAAGCTTTACACCTATGCATGGTACTGCGTCTTGGCTGTAATCCAAAAGTGTGTATGGATCATATTACCTCTAGTTTAAGATCAGCCTGGGATATAGATCAAGTCCAAGTGATACAGCCTGTGATAAAGAATAAAATCTTGTTTCAAAATCCATCTACTGCCCATAAGAGAAGATGCTTTTTTCACTTATTTTGGAAGTTAAGTAAACATTTCATAACTATTTAATTTTATAAATAATAATATATATATATTAATTTCAAAGAAATTATAGATTTAAAGAATAATATATTTAAAAAATAAAAATTATGTATTTATGGAACATTTAGTTTAACACACGTTGATTAGGCAACTGTTGCTTAGCAATGGCAGTTATAGGTATGATCCTATGCCAATTGAGGGGCAAAAATTCCACCCTCATGCTTCTACATGACATTTATGAATACTTGATTATTCAAATTTGTATTATTTTAAATTAACTAGTTACATTGGTAACAGAATTTTTATTTCTTTGAGGTTTACAATTTTATTTTTGAGAACTTGCTTTTCATTTTTTATATAATTTTTTGAAGTGCCTTCCTAAGTATATAAAATTTGCTGCATATAATTTGATGCCTCAAATTTCTACCAATAGAATTATAAAAAAATCCTGTAAATTGCTCAAATAGAGTAGATTAGAATTTGAAGTTTTGGAAGCAATATAATTATAGTCAGGACTGTGGATTTAAAGGGGCTCCTATAGTCACACAAATAAAGATAAATAGTATTGGTTTTATTGTGGACTGGTGTATAAATTGCTTATTGAAGGATATACATGTGCTGTTTTCATTTACCTATTCCTTTCTCCAGACCTATATATTGCATATGCTATCTCCTATTTATATTCATTTCCGCTTTGTTGTATTGTCCAGTTTGGTACATGATAATTTCATCCAATTCTTGCTCCCACACCCAAAACAGATGGATGATACATGAGATGTATTTCTGGACTAGGATAACTTCCTAAAATGATGTTAGCAGGAGCTATTTATTTTTTATGATAATTAGCATTTGTTGTTGTCCTGGATGAATGCTTTTAAACACCACAAAAGTCTGTTATAGCTCTGAATGGTGTCCAAAAATGATGGAAACGAATTGGCTTCAGAAACAAAGCTGTGTTTCTGTCAGTCATTTTGGAACATATGATTCATTTTAAATATAAACTAAAAATAAATTGAATAGCTGTCAGCTTGTAAGCAATTCCAGGATAAATTGTGAATATTTGCTTTTAAAAATTCCTGTGTTTCATCTTTGTTTATAGATCAGCAGTCCATTAACAAAGAACTCTGATCTGGTAAGCAGAAGCCTAGGATTCTATCCCAGACTTGCTGCTAAATTACTGGAACACATTGGAAAAGAAGTAAGGGGATAGGAATGACTACAGATGAGCTATCATGCTTTAGATATTATGTAAATTCTGTCATAAATTATTTTTCTTAATCTTCAGAAACAATGTTCTGAGTCCCAAAGGAAACAGGTTATCATTTCATCTGGCCAGCTTCCTTGCTAGGCCTCCTGCCCAGCAGCAGCCTTAGAAACATGAATATCTCCCTCAATTCCTTCCTGAGTTGGGGTTCATAATCAAGTTCCAGTAGCCATTTGTTCACTGCTCTGACCTCTCAAATCTACTGTCTTTCATGTTGTGCTATTTTAGGTCAAAAGATGTATCATCTTTCATGGTGTTTGTTACTAATCTTATGTGATCTAACTGAATTCTCAATTTCAGTTTCAATCTAATCAATTTTTGTTGATAGTCATGTCTCAACACGTCACTTAGAGGTTTGTTTTCTGCCTTTTATAATTTAAATTTTTATTCATTTTTATATACCAACCCCAGTTCCCCCTCCCTCCCATTCTCCTGTTCCCCCCACCTCCACCCCTCCCTCCATTCATTCCTCAGAGAGAGGGTAAGTCCTCCTATGGGAAGTCAACTAAGACTGCCATCTCAAGTTGAGGCAGGAGCAAGTGCACCCCTCACCCCCGGAATCTAGAATAAGCAAGTCTTCCCGCCATAAGCAATGGGCTCCAAAAAACGTTAGTCATTCACCGGGATAAGTCCTGCTCCCACTGCCAGGGGTCCCACAAACAGGCCAAGCCACACAATTGTCACCCACATTTACAGGGTCTAGTTTGGTCCCATTTAAGGCCTCCAGCTGTCAGTCCAGAATCCATGAGCTCTCACTAGTTCAGGTCAGCTGTGTGTTTCCCCATTATGATCTTGAACCCTCCTTGCTCATATAGCCTCTCCTCCCTCTCTTTTCCTGGACTCCTGGAGATTGGCACCATATTTAGCTGTTGATCTGTGCATCTTCTTCTATTAGTTACTGGATGAAGGTTCTATGATGACAATTAGTGTGGTCACCAGTCTGAATATAAGAGAAAGCTGGTTTAGACACCATCTCCATTATTACTAGGCGTCTTAGCTAGGTTCATTCTTGTGGATTCCTGGGAATTTCTTC